GCCTTCATGGTCGGATTGCGGCAAAGAAACCACTACTAAAGGACACCAATAAGAAGAAGAGACTTGCTTGGGCCAAGAAACACGAGCAATGGACATTAGACTGGTGGAAATCTGTCCTTTGGTCTGATGATTCCAAATTTGAGATATTTGGTTCCAACCTTTGTCTTTGTGAGACGCAGAGTAGGTGAGCGGATGATCTCTGCATGTGTGGTTCCCAACGTGAAGCATGGAGGAGGAGGTGTGATGGTGTGGGGGTGCTTTGCTGGTGACACTGTCAGTGATTTATTTAGAATTCAAGGCACACTTAACCATCATGGCTACCACAGCATTCTGCAGCAAAACGCCATCCCATCTGGTTTGCGCTTAGTGGGACTATAATTTGTTTTTCAACAGGACAATGACCCAAAACACACCTCCAGGCAAAGTAAGGGCTATTAGACCAAGAAGAAGAGTGGACTGTTGGAAAAGCATTCCTCATGAAGCTGGTTGAGAGAATGCCAAGAGTGTGCAAAGCTGTCATCAAGGCAAGTATTGGACGTTAATAACTCTATGGACAACCAGACAGATCTACAGTGGGGAGAACAAGTATTTGATACACTGCCGATTTTGCAGGTTTTCCTACTTACAAAGCATGTAGAGGTCTGTAATTTTTATCATAGGTACACTTCAACTGTGAGAGACGGAATCTAAAACAAATATCCAGAAAATCACATTGTATGATTTTTAAGTAATTAATTTGCTTTTTATTGCATGACATAAGTATTTGATACATCAGAAAAGCAGAACTTAATATTTGGTACAGAAACCTTTGTTTGCAATTACAGAGATCATACGTTTCCTGTAGGTCTTGACCAGGTTTGCACACACTGCAGCAGGGATTTTGGCCCACTCCTCCATACAGACCTTCTCCAGATCCTTCAGGTTTCGGGGCTGTCGCCGGGCAATATGGACTTTCAGCTCCCTCCAAAGATTTTCTATTGGGTTCAGGTCTGGAGACTGGCTAGGCCATTCCAGGACCTTGAGATGCTTCTTACAGAGCCATTCCTTAGTTGCCCTGGCTGTGTGTTTCGGGTCGTTGTCATGCTAGAAGACCCAGCCACGACCCATCTTCAATGCTCTTACTGAGGGAAGGACGTTGATGGCCAAGATCTCACAATCCATGGCCCCATCCATCCTCCCCTCAATACGGTGCAGTCGTCCTGTCCCCTTTGCAGAAAAGCATCCCCAAAGAATGATGTTTCCACCTCCATGCTTCACGGTTGGGATGGTGTTCTTGGGGTTGTACTCATCCTTCTTCTTCCTCCAAACACGGCGAGTGGAGTTTAGACCAAAAAGCTCTATTTTTGTCTCATCAGACCACATGACCTTCTCCCATTCCTCCTCTGGATCATCCAGATGGTCATTGGCAAACTTCAGACGGGCCTGGACATGCGCTAGCTTGAGCAGGGGGACCTTGCGTGCGCTGCAGGATTTTAATCCATGGCGGCGTAGTGTGTTACTAATGGTTTTCTTTGAGACTGTGGTCCCAGCTCTCTTCAGGTCATTGACCAGGTCCTGCCGTGTAGTTCTGGGTTGATCCCTCACCTTCCTCATGATCATTGATGCCCCACGAGGTGAGATCTTGCATGGAGCCACACACTGAGGGTGATTGACCGTCATCTTGAACTTCTTCCATTTTCTAATATTTGCGCCAACAGTTGTTGCCTTCTCACCAAGCTGCTTGCCTATTGTCCTGTAGCCCATCCCAGCCTTGTGCAGGTCTACAATTTTATCCCTGATGTCCTTACACAGCTCTCTGGTCTTGGCCATTGTGGAGAGGTTGGAGTCTGTTTGATTGAGTGTGTGGACAGGTGTCTTTTATACAGGTAACGAGTTCAAACAGGTGCAGTTAATACAGGTAATGAGTGGAGAAGAGGAGGGCTTCTTAAAGAAAAACTAACAGGTCTGTGAGAGCCGGAATTCTTACTGGTTGGTAGGTGATAAAATACTTATGTCATGCAATCAAATTAAATAGTTACTTAAAAATAATACAATGTGATTTTCTGGATTTTTATTTTAGATTCCGTCTCTCACAGTTGAAGTGTACCTATGATAAAAATTACAGACCTCTACATGCTTTGTAAGTAGGAAAACCTGCAAAATCGGCAGTGTATCAAATACTTGTTCTCCCCACTGTATATCAATAGTATATTCTAACAATACAACTGAAATTACTGGAGTGAGTAGGCTTTGTATTTACAGCCACACTGTAAAAAAAACACCCAGAAACCTAGTTTATCAGGAAGATTGGAATGCTGTGAACCAAGAGGTTGTGAGTTCAAATCCCAGGTGAGGACATGTTGAATATGAATTACTGTGTAAATAAACAAGCACAATGTAATCATGTATGTCAACGTGTGTCAAATATGTAAGTTAAAAATAATGTATGTTAAAAGCACTGTGTGTGCGTAACTAGTACCACAACCTTTTGTTTTTTAGTTAATTTAGCCAAATAATAATTTCTAGTTGAATAAACATATGAGACAATTTGAGCAAACACATAATTTTAAGTTGCCTGCGTTTTCTCATGTTGGAGCTAAGTTTGGGCCAACTAAAAATGTTAAGTTCAGGTAACACTTTGACCAAAAAGTTGAGTAAACAAAAAAAGGATGTCAAATCAAATCAAATCAAATCAATGTATAAAGCCCTTTTTACATCAGCAGATGTCACAAAGTGCTTAAACAGAAACCCAACCTAAAACCCCAGCCTAAAACCAGTTACGTAATAATATTTAGTTGAAACAACTAGATCTTTATTTTTTACAGTGCATGCATGCATGCCCCAACAAATATATCTTTATTTTTTTACAGTGCATGCATTTATACCCCAACAATCTATATAATTCCACAGTTATTATAATTATGGCTATCTTGGACATTTAAAGCCAATCAGTGGCTAACAAAGCCTTTGTCTGCTATTAGGAGACTCCATGGATGTTTTCAACGCATCCCTAGAAGTCATTGCTTCATAATAGGATAATGAAATTTGGATCAAGACTTAAAAGTTCAAATGGTGAAGACTCCTTTCAATGATCTCCCCTGATGTATTTGGTTCACAATACCCCCTCCTCTTCCCTCCCCTCTTTTGTGTGATGAATGTACTGTAGATGACTATTGTTCGTCCGTGGAATGTGGAGAAGTCCTGTGGGAAAACTGGATGAAGCACTCAATCTCATTAAGTGTTTAGATATGAATTTTCTCAAGTACTGAGTTCTAAGGGCCCTATTCAATCAAACTCTGGGTTACTGGGTCTCAGGCATAGGCCAAGTTGAAAAACCTCAACATGCTTGTGGCGCAAGAATACCCATTTGCATTCATGTGTCCAACATTTCAATGTTTACAGCATGATATAAATAGAAACTTATTTAGACTGCATATTATTTCAAACATGCTCTGTAGCTGCAGGGAAAAGGCTGGCTGTTTTAACTGATCCCAAAACTTGGTCACTGCATTGGTTTCAGTAGGGCCTCAGTTCTAGCCCGGAGTTCATATGACAGAGGTCCAACATGGCTCTGAGAGTTTTTTCTGATATTTCAAGGTTTATGGCTTGGAGCTGTGCTTCACTGTACTCAGAGGAGCCCTGAAATGGCTCCTGATTTTTTGGGACAATATTTTTGATTGTTTAGTGATACAGTACCTAAAGTATAATCAATGCATTACTTTAGTTTCAATTTTGAACTTAAATATATGTGAGACTTCCAAGTAAACTAGATGTATTTCTCTAAAGAAATCTACAGCAGAAAAAAAGCCTCAAGAACAATATGGTGCTCATAACACTTCCATTTAAGTATAAAAATCCTCAAAGGCTGTAAAATGGTACTCCATTTCAATATCATCTCTATTGTAGCCCAAGAATATACGGACAATATACTGACTCCATTTACTCCACAGACAAATGTATTCATTGTATATTGTATTGTATGGTTATTTCACACAGTGTTTCTCATATACTGGATCGGGAACAACTGTTGGATCAAAGTCAATTCCTACTGGGTCTCAGGAAAAGCACTGGTCTTGGGCAATAATTATTCTGTTCATCTGGAGGGTCACAGGAAATGTAAAGCTTTAGGTGACATTTTGAAGCATTTTTTTCTTGACATAACAGTCACAAGAAGAAGTTAGCTGGCTGTTTAAAATAGCTCATATGTGCTGAAAGCCATCAATGTTGTTGAATACAATGATGTTTATTATATCATAACAATTAAACATACATACACTAACTTTTCATTTTAGTTGTAGTTGGACACCTTATCTGCAAAGATAATGTGATTCTACCTGATAGGTGCTGACATGACCATGTAGGCTGAGGCACATTACTGTACGTGTTGTCTATGACCGGTTTCATTATCACAAATAATAACTTAAGAGAACCTTTGGTTTTACAAGCTCTGTGTGCCAACATCACTGATCAAGGTCAGGATAACATCCTTAGGCAGGTCAACTTCATTTTTTCTTGAGTTTGAAAACCATATTTGCCTAAATGAATCTTCTACATTTCATTAGCGTGGTTTTATATGTTACTTGAAATTGATAATTTTATATTCCTTCAAATGATGCTAGTGGATGTCTATGCTACAATTCCATATTCACTATTTTATCATTGGTTTGGCCAACTTCTCAGTTACAGTTATGGCATACAACTTTTTTTGTATTATTAATACATTCTCAGTCTAAGCAGCAGCAATGGGTGAATGGTCCGGACTATGGTAAACTGATGTGGATCAAAGCGCAAGTCCTTACACAGGTAACTGCATAGCATGTGTAGCAATATAAAGTTTGGTTAACTATAAATATCTTTGTCTGTCATGACTACAACACAAAGCATATTGAAACAGTTGAGAAGTTGTAGGATATATATATATATATATATATATATATATATATATATATATATATATATATTTCTTTCAGATAATATGTTATGAAAAATTAAATGAGACTAATTCTGACATGGGACATTTGTATATTTTTTATTCTCACACAGTATTTGGGTCATATCAACAATAGCATATATTTTCAAGAGCATGCTAAAACACCCACATGGAGTGAAAACGAACACTTTCATTCAACAAAAGCTATTAAATATTATTTACAAGAAAGTTAAATCTTCCACCGAAGACAATGATCCAAACACAAGCTGAAACTTGTCTTTCTTGATATGGTATATAGACAATGAACACTAGCCCATGGGGTATTAAAGTATGTTTTCCAGGATCCCAAGATAACTTTGAGACAGGTGTCATATATACAACAACAAAAAATCCTAAACTGAAATGATAGAGAAATAGTTTTTCAGTATGTAAGAAAAAACTAAGTAATCAAAAATAATATGTCACTTTGTACTTCAACTAAGTAAAGGACTTATATTGCACTATCTTGATGATGATATCAAATTGACTCTAATGTAGGCTACTACATGTTCCTGATATCTTCCCTTTTCACTTGATGATCAAATGTCTTCTCATGACACTTGGTTTTTTTGTTCTGGTGAGTTTTGACATGTTTAGCCAAATGGTCACTCCTCATGAACCTCTTGCAACAGTCAGGACAAACAAAGCGCTTCTCTCCAGTATGAGTCCTCAGGTGTCTCTGCAGCTCATCAGACCTGGTGAAACTCTTGCCACAGAAAAGCCAGTTACATACAAATGGACGCTCTCCCGAGTGCCACCTCAGGTGCGCTTTGAGATGGGAAGTTTTGCCATAAACCTTCCCGCACCCTGGTATGTGACAGATGTGTTGCTTTTTCTTGCCGGGCTCATCGTTTGAGGTGGAGGACTGACAGTTTGGACACCTACATCTCCGACATCTTCGGGCTGTTGCGAGGGGGGACTTGGTGTGAAGGAGGGCAGCGATTTGAGTCTGATACTGCGCAAAGTCTGTATGCCCCATCACCAAGCCCCTCTGCAGTTGGAAACGGTGGTGGCCAAGGGATTGAGTGGTGATTGAGTGGTGATGACTGACGTGATTTCCCTGTTGGAGACTCCACCACGGAATATCCTCCCCTGGGCTAGGGGACAACTGCCTCTGTTGCTGGTGCACAAGGCCAGAGTGTCCCGTAACGAAACCTGGCATGGCAGTTGGCGCTGCATAAGATACAGCAGGGACGTAGGTGGGTGGGCAGGAGGACTGTAACGACTGCATGGAGCACGGTAACATATTCACTGGAGAAAAGTCATAGGGATATGAGGGATCCGCTGGAGGGGTGAGAGGGAGCTCGTGGTGGGAAGTAAATGAGCTTTGGATGTGGAGCTGGGCTTTAGATGATAGTCCAAAAGTAGAATTGCTAGAGAGAGTGCTTTGAGGATTCCCCTCGTTACTCCAAGGATGAAAAATTCGCGACGGCGAGCCTAAAGTAGTGTCATAAGGAACCTGGAGGAAATCTGCCGGACTTGATCCGTGGTGGTGTCCGATCCGGTTGCAAGTGGCAGCTAAGAGCGCCAGTGGAGAGTGTTTACAGTTTTCTGGAGAAGAGTTAGGAGTGCGGTCCTGCATATAAGTAAAACAAATAATGATTAATTATGTGTTGACTTTGCTCTAAACAAGAGTTGTAACTGTATTGGGTGGGAAAATGGACACTCCGGCAATTAAAACGACATTGATTTGCCTAATATTAGTTTTAATACACTCTCACTCCAGCAAAGATGACTACACTACAAAAAGAGTTGTAACATAATCATTCAAGCCGTTATTATTCAGTAAATCAAACAGCCATATTTCAGTTATTATACAGCATGTTTTTATAGATGAACCAGGTTAAAATGCGCATTATGCGCACACGCGTAATAACTCACAATACACGCGGTCTAAACAATTTTTTTAACTACCGTATACATACAGTCATATTTTGAGAAGGACAAATAAAACCACGAAAGCCAAAAGTTTTGAACAAACCTGAAGAAAAGCCTGGAGTGTTTCATTCCGCAGTAGAGCCACTGCTGCCATGGTAAACGTCCTCTTTCTTCGTGTTAAAAACAGATCACAATAATAAAACTAATTGAGATAAATGTAATACCGTAGAAAAATGTCTTGACGTGGTAAAGTCTTCACTCTCAATACTTCCTCTCCTCGAGATATCCTTGGACTATCTGGAGAGTGAGGGATCACTTCTTAGAATTTGATAAGGACTTTGGTGGGCCGCCAGCCAGTCAGAAATAAGATTTATTACTTTGAAGTTTGCCGCTGCCCAATCATCAAAGAATAGCGGCTCTATGAGAGGGGAAAGCAAATCCTTTGAATCCACAAAGCTCCTATGGTGTGTTTGTTGGTCTGGATAAAAGAGCTGATTATTAGGGGGGATGGGGAGGGAGGAGATAAAGGCGGGACAATTAATGAAGTAATCACTATGTGGGAAATGTATATACACAAATAATTGGATTTTCTTGATCAAAGACCCCCATGCCGCCTGGAGACCCCCGTATTGGATGCTGTAGTCATCTGATCCTCTTTTTGTAATTAAGGATTTGTAGCACAACCCTATGTGACAATGTAACATTGTTATCTCTTGAGATCTCCTGGCGCATAGCTGTTTGATAACTTCAAGAGGTGTAACTAATGAGAGCAAATCAAGTCTCAACATAAAGTTAATGTCGTTTGGGATACATTTAACATTTTTCAAAATAATAAATACTTTTTTATTATAACAACAAGTATGATGTTGATAACGTGTTTCCATGGAACTAAAATGCTCCTGATAGTTTATTAACCAGCAAATATCAACTGGCAGACTACTGTAAAACATGGCTTGGAACAAGATTACAGTTTATACCCTGGCCTGCTTACAGGCATGTCAATGTCAATATCATCAATTCACTTCTTTCATTCTTTGATAGTTAACCCCAAAAGCCCATAGTGGTGTCATTTGCGTTCTAGTGCGTAAAGTGACTTTTACGCAGTAGTGGCAAAATTGGCTATCGGATAAGTTGAAAGCGATAGCCTAACAACTTTTTTTTTAACCTTTATTTAACTAGGCAAGTCAGTTAAGAACAATTCTTATTTACAATGACGGCCTACCCGGACGACGCTGACCCAATTATGCCCTGCCCTATGGGACTCCTAATCACGGTCGGATTGTGATACAGCCTGGATTCTAAGCTGTAGTGACGCCTCCTGCGCTGAGATGCAGTGCCTTAGACCGCTGCGCCACTCGGGAACTACAACCCATAGGCTACTTGCAGTAACTAACTGCAACTGTTGTAGCACTTTATTTATGTAACTACCAGAGTATTGCTGCATGATTAACCATAACCTATTTAGATAGCCCTCAATTGATCCAGATGTCAAAAGTGGCAGATAGAGAGGGTGATGTCTCTATTGTGTGTTTCCTAAAAAGTTGTGCCAGTGCGAGAGGCCTGGGAAGGAAGGAGGAGTTCCCATCCGCAAGAAAGAGGAAACAATTTTGAAACCCCCTGCCGCATCTCTGCCTTGAGCTTGTTGGGCTTTGATGGCCAAGGACCAACCTGGTCTCAGATCATTATGTATTATTCTGTACGTAAATCCTAGACACTGAACAAAAATATAAAGTGTTGGTCCCATATTTAATGAGCTGAAAGCTTATTCCTCTCAAATTTTGTGCACAAATTTGTATACATCCCTGTTAGTAAGCATTTCTCCTAGGCCAAGATAATCCATCCACTTGACATGTGTGGCATATCAAGAAGCTGATTAAACAGCATAATCATTACACAGGTGCACATTGTGCTGGGGACAATAAAACGGCACTCTAAAATGTGCAGTTTTGTCACACAACACAATGCCACAGATGTCTCAAGTTTTGAGGGAGCGTGCAATTGACATGCTGACTGCAGGAATGTCCACCAGAGCTGTTGCCAGATAATTTAATGTTACTTTCTCTACCATAAGCCACCTCCAACATCGTTTTAGAGAATTTGGCAGTACGTCCAACTGGCCTCACAACCGCAGACCACGTGTAACCACGCCAGCTCAGGACTTCCACATCCGGCTTCTTCACCTGCGGGATCATCAGACCAGCCACCCGGACAGCTGATGAAACTGTGGGTTTGCACAACCAAATAATTTCTGCACAAACTGTCAGAAACTGTATCAGGGAAGCTCATCTGCGTGCTCGTCGTCCTCACCAGGGTCTTGTCCTGACTGCAGTTTGGCATCGTAACCGACTTCAGTAGGCAAATGCTCACCTTCATTTACGTTACATTTACGATGGCCACTGGCACACTGGAGAAGTGTGCTCTTCACAGACGAATCCCGGTTACAACTGTACCGGACAGACGATGTCAACGTTGTGAACAGAGTACCCCATGGTGGTGATGGGGTTATGGTATGGGCAGGCATAAGCTACGGACAACAAACACAATTGCATTTTATCGATGGCAATTTGAATGCACAGAGATACCGTGATGAGATCCTGAGGCCCATTGTCGTGCCATTCATCCGCCACCATCACCTCATGTTTCAGTATGTACAAATTCCTGGAATTTGAAAATGTCCCAGTTCTTCCATGGCCTGCATACTCACCAGACATGTCACCCATTGAGCATGATTGGGATGCTCTGGATCGACGTGTACGACAACGTGTTCCAGTTCCCGCTAATATCCAGCAACTTTGCACAGCCATTGAAGAGGAGTAGGACAACATTCCACATGCAACAATCAACAGCCTGATCAACTCTATGCGAAGGAGATGTGTCGCGCTGCATGAGGCAAATGGTGGTCACACCAGATACTGACTGGTTTTCTGATCCAACCTTTAAAAAAAAGTTATCTGTGACCTACAGATGCATATCTGTATTGCCAGTCATGTGAAATCCATAGATTAGGGGCTAATTAATTTATTTCAATTGACTGATTTCCTTATATGAACTGTAACTCAGTAAAATCTTAGAAATTGTTGCATGCTGCGTTTATATATTTTTTCAGTGTAATATGATGTTACATTTCGTATAGTTTGTTACGAATTAGTAAAATGTGTTATATGTTACGAATTTGCGAAACGTGTTATATGTTACGAATTTGCAAAATATATGATATATTACGAATTTGCGAAAATGTATGATATGATACGATATGTTAGCTAGGCTAGGATTTAGGGGTTAGGGTTAAGTTTAGGAGTTAGGTTAAAGGGTTAAGGTTAGGGTTAGCTAAAAGGGTTAGGGTTAGGTGAAGAGTTAGCTAACATGGTAAGTAGTTGCAAAGTAGTTAAAAAGTAGTAAGTAGTTGAAAAGTTGCTAATTAGCTAAAATGCTAAAGTTGTCAGTGATGAGGTGTACCGGATTTACGTACAGAATAATACGAAATGCTCTGAGACCAGGTTGCAACAACAACCTCAATGCCTTCAGAATGACAGGTGTTAGGAAACAGACTAAATAAAACAAAAAAACAAACTAATGTTTTTGTTGTTATAAAGGAATATATTTTATAATAAGAATTAATTAGAAATAATTAAACCATCTCATTAAGTAACAACACAATACCTCACTGAAAATAATTTCAAAACTTTTGTAAAACTGTTGTCTAGTCAACTTCAACTGTAAAGCAATGGAAGTTTTTCTTCTATATCAACGCAGTGATCATTATCAGGCTTCCCTGCAGAAACAATCACTGTCCTCTCAAATACTTTGGAGCGGCTGATTTAGAATTAGATCTGTTCCTTTGAAGGGATTAATGTTCCCGGCCCTCTCCCACAGCTCTATACACAGTCATGGGGGAAAGGGGGAGTCCTGCTGGGCCACGCAGAAACCCCGTTTCTCTGCAAAGCCATAGGCTTGCAAGAGTGGGGCAGCTACACTGAATATCTGAAATTAGTTGAGGCCTGATGCCTAAATGAATCGTATTTACAAATATGGTCAATGAAGACCAAGATACACAACATATCAATAAGGATCTAATTTCTTATGCACATTATTGCTGCATAATATAGTGCACAGCAATCTTTATTTTCCAAGAATAATCTCACCACTAATTCACTAAACTATATGAACTACAAGAGAGACTGCCATAGGACTTGTGTCTGCTAATATAAAGTTAGAACATGGCTTGAGGAAGAGGAAGAGGAAGTGCATTATCGTTTTTATATGAATTCGATTAGTGTACTGCATTTACAACCAACAATAAGTGACTCAAATTCACATATTCATGTAGTTTGATATTCTATACAGTCTAAAAACATACATTTCTGGCATATACATTGGCTATAACTCTGAATACATATTGTACTGTACATGTGACCTGGTTAGATGCCTGTGTGGTAGGCCTACTGGCAGTTCAAACAAAAGGCAAAGCTTTGAGTACTGTTGTGAGTATCTTTAATTTGTTTTAATCACTTTATTAGAATGGTACAAAACAATGTTGATACAAAGAAAGATAGTGAGAACATGTACATGTAAAATCAGTATGCAGCGAGTGCACCAAAAAATGCCAACCTGCATGTACTACTGGCTACAACTGATTCCACATGGGGGTGAATGACAAGTTTACAATAAACGGCTATTTGACATTATACTGTATAGAGTGGAATATTTACATATAAATAACAGCAATTCAAGCCATTCCACTAAAGGTGACTTAAGGTACATGATTTAGCATAAGTTGTATGATAAGCCATGCTATTTACACTTTTATATCAATTTAATGTTTTTGGATAAGACATCAATGAAGACTATTGATTATGGCCTTCACAATCACTTTGTTTGGGAAATTCATATTGATAATCAAAATGCAGAGATGTAAACACACAATCACTTTAATAAAATAACAGCTTTCACATCCATTTACAGGAAAATAAATAATCCATGGTCAATACAATATACAGTACAATTTGAGTCTGACAAAAATATACAGTTCTTTTTCATTGAGGTCAGGGTCAAAGAAGGCAATCTGTAAAATAAAGAGAGACCAAGTCAGTTTTCAATATGTCATACATTTCTTTTGTATTACTTTAACATAGTTGACTTCAAGTCCAGAGAATTAAGAAACTGAAATTAAACACTGAACACCGAAATGCATTTTCAGCAGAGGATAACATGTTTCATTTCCAGGCACAATGGCTCATTCCATCTATAGAAAAAGTTTTTGCCTATTCACTTGTATTCATATGGCATGTTTCACATTTCAGTAACAAGTATTCCCCCAAAATTGCATATATGTGGAGTAAGTGAAAGTGTAGTTGCATCCGGTCTTATAACATTGAATACATTGACAGTGAGAACGGCAGCTTTGATGGAGTTGGGGGGTAATGCCACAACATGAACCCCTTTTT